TTACTTTGAAATGAAAGTCTGCATTATCGATTTGTTCAATGTGAAGTTACAAGACTGTCTCTAAAGACTTGATGGTTTACCTTGCGTGCGGAAGTGTTTCCGACCCCTGGTCAACTCTCTTATTAGTGAAATATTGGAGACTGAAATTTTTTGTATAATTATTTTAAGACACTACAAACTATAAACTGTTTTAAGGTAACATTAATTTTATGATGGAAATGTATGGAAGTAAAATAAAAACTGAAATATTCTTTCAATCCCCCCCTCCCCCCCCCCACCACACACATACATATTACTATTTTGTAAAGTGATAACTAGATTAAGCCTTTTGGTGTAAGTATGTATCTGTTTTGTACACTGTTTTCGATAAGTTCTGCTTATAGTGATATAATAATTGTAATAATTCAAGTAATTTTGCATGCACAGTGTTACCACTTGGCTTCATTTCATTGTTCTTCAGTAGATAAAACCACAGAATAAAAACAGGAAATGCCAATGTCTAAAGTACTCCAATTATAAATGACCTTACGCCAAGCATGTCAAACTTGCGGCCCACCTGCACAGGGGCCGCATTGTGCTGTGGCTGTGACCTGCCACAAGATAGGAAAGACCTTTCCTGTCTGCCCTACCACGGCCGATCATGTGCTCCGACGGCCGCAAGAGCACTAAGCATTAGTCCACACCGGCCACCGGATATGCGCATAAAGCATGTGAAGTCATATCCAGCGGCTGCGCTACAGTGTGCAGAGTTGCTGTCTATTTGCAGAGAAGGCCAGCCACTCCCCTTTCCTTCCTGCTTGCAGAGCCAGAGAAGCATCTGGCCTGCTTGAGAAGAGCATGGCTGGAATTGGAGGATAAGTGGCTCATCTTAAGGTAGGGGAAGAGTAGCAGTGTATTAGATTAGGGGACGAATGAGGGCAGTGTATTATTTGGGGGAGGGAGGGGCCGCAGTGTATTAGATGCTGATTGGCCGTGTAGTGTTTTGCCACACATGCGCAATAGCCTCCCAATGCTTTTCTATCGGAAAGCATTGGATTGGCTGAGATAATCAAGTTTGATGATCTCAGCCAAAGTGAAGAACACACTCCTAGAATTTCAAAATCAACAAGATAATGTCATTTTGTATTTGTAACAGCATGTCTTCACCATTTCAGTCCCATTACCAAACTTTTCGTAATATGTCGAGGTAGTTGAATTGAAACATTGGTTATATGCAAATGCACGTCTCCTTAAAATAAATTTGCTTGTTTGTTTACTTCAAAGCCCGACGGGCGTGAGGACATCCAGTGTCAGGCAAAAAAATTTTTTTTTATACTGTACTTTTCAAAATAAACCTAAGTTTCTATGAAAACTGAAGTTTTTGTTTTTTTGTGGCCCATATTATTTGGCCACTGTTATCCTTAGAGTTTGACGTGCTTACCTTACACTATTTATCACCTGGTATAAAGTCACTCGCTTGTTGTAGTGATATACAGCTTGTCCTAGTCGTTCAGGTGACAACGTATAGACCTCCGAGACGGTCCTTTTTAGCCCATCTCATAAAACTTAGTAACAGTCTGTCTCCCAGTCAAACCGAAAGGTTTTGTTTAATTTGAATAAGGAAATGCCCAACATGCCCCATTGTAAAGTTTGTCATATAAAGTACTCTCTCTTACTTCCATGTCTTATATGTAGCAAAAGAACCATCCAATCCAAGTCTAACTACCTGTTAGTGGTAAATTCCCCTAATACGTGGACAATTCATCCTGTCTAAATTGTTGATTCCATAAATATACAACGGTTAATGTCCACTGTTCTTCCTTAAGACACTAATAAAATCACAAAAAAAAAGATTTGAACTTTATATGGTTCTTTAGTATCTAAAAACAAAAAAAAAGCAAACACACGAGCCGCTAGGGCACAAGTTGTGTTACGGATTGTGTTCCTATATGGTGTTCGTAGGACATCGAATACGCATTGAAAGATGTAAAGGAGGAGGAGTTGCAAATAGTACATCAATAAGCAGCGCTGCAGTGAAACTTTATTTCATGTTATATGCTGAATGATGTCTCTTAAAATCCCTACTAGACAACGGTTCATGGGATAAGCTTGGCTCCCCAGTGAAAATACGTTTTGACTGACTGAAATCTGCTATGTCATAATTTGTGTAGAGCTCACAGGATTTGCAATACACAGGATTTTCAGTATTTATTTCTTTAAGTATTTTGTTAATGTATTAACTATGTAGAGACTGTATTTGTTCACTTGTATACTGTGAGATGCTTAAATAAAGAGTATTAAAACAAAACTGATGTTGTGCCGAGTCTGATCATTTCCCCACAATTATAGAACAGTCACTTGTTTTCTACAATTCTCTTTATAATAAGTGGTGGCTCAATTCCAGTTTAGCGTCATTTCACATACCTGTAATAAAGTACATTATAGGGAGAGTGTGTCAGGTTGCTGTTAGAGCCAGGGGGATAACCCCCTATAAATAATGAAAATAAACAAAACCAACCTATAGGAAAGGGAAACCAGGGGAATAAACTTCAACGCAAGCTTTCATAATAAAAAGCAACCGAAAAATGTCAAAAAATAATAAAATAAAAAAATATAATAAAAAAAAATATAAGGTGGCGCTGTCATGCCGAACTTACCTTTCCTCAATCTCCCCCTCTCTCAGGATCTGTTCTTCATTTCTTCCTGTCTTCTTTAGTTTTCTTTAAAATCATAAGACAAAGTAGGGACTCTTTGCCTTATGGAGGATTCCTCCGCTTGACCAGCTCTGACCAGCGGAGGAGCAAAGTGGGATTCATTTCCGCTGGTCAGAGCAATTTTCCCATGATCCTTAGCTTTCCTCTGTGTACCCGCGATGCTTCCTGTCATTTTACACGAAACTGACGAATTGCGTTCTAACTGAATGACAACAGTATGTTCGTTTCTTTTAGAACTCAATTCGGCACTTTATTTGTGTCGGAATTTCATTCGAATGAATGTAACTCCGATCCTATGCCGCTTAGTAGATAACTCCCTAATTCCCACGGTATTAGGGAGCTATCTAACAAAAGGCTGAAAGACCTAAATTGGTCTTTCAGCCACATTTACTAATACTAAGTAAAGGTTACTTAGTATTAGTAAATAATATGCCCCTACTCGCTATACCGCAGTGAGCTGCTCACTGTAAAAAAAAAAAACCCTATTGGCCCCCACCCCTAAACGACGGTGGGGGCCCTAAAGTAAAGTGCTCTAACTCCCTCAGGGCTCTCCTACCTCAGGGGAGTCAGTACAGGTTATCATGGAACATTCCCAGCTCAATATACAGAGTCAGTATAGGATGGAACATTCCCAGCTATACAGAGTCAGTATAGGGTACCATGGAACATTCCCAGCTCAATATACAGAGTCAGTATAGGATATCATGGAACATTCCCAGCTCAATATACAGAGTCAGTATAGGATATCATGGAACATTCCCAGCTCAATATATAGAGTCAGTATAGGATATCATGGAACATTCCCAGCTCAATATATAGAGTCAGTATAGGATATCATGGAACATTCCCAGCTCAATATACAGAGTCAGTATAGGATATCATGGAACATTCCCAGCTCAATATATAGAGTCAGTATAGGATATCATGGAACATTCCCAGCTCAATATACAGAGTCAGTATAGGATATCATGGAACATTCCCAGCTCAATATACAGAGTCAGTACAGGTTATCATGGAACATTCCCAGCTCAATATACAGAGTCAGTATAGGATATCATGGAACATTCCCAGCTCAATATACAGAGTCAGTATAGGATATCATGGAACATTCCCAGCTCAATATACAGAGTCAGTATAGGATATCATGGAACATTCCCAGCTCAATATACAGAGTCAGTATAGGATATCATGGAACATTCCCAGCTGGATATACAGAGTCAGTATAGGATATCATGGAAAATTCCCAGCTCAATATATAGAGTCAGTATAGGATATCATGGAACATTCCCAGCTCAATATACAGAGTCAGTCAGTATAGGATATCATGGAACATTCCCAGTTCGATATAGTCAGTATAGGATATCATGGAACATTCCCAGCTCAATATACAGAGTCACAAGTAGGATATCATGGAACATTCCCAGCTCAATATACAGAGTCAGTACAGGCTATCATGGAACATTCCCAGCCCACAGAGTCAGCATAGGATCATGGAACATTCCCAGCTCAATATACAGAGTCAGTATAGGATATCATGGAACATTCCCAGCTCAATATACAGAGTCAGTATAGGATATCATGGAACATTCCCAGCTCAATATATAGAGTCAGTATAGGATATCATGGAACATTCCCAGCTCAATATACAGAGTCAGTATAGGATATCATGGAACATTCCCAGCTTAATATACAGAGTCAGTATAGGATATTATTGCCCTCGATATGCACAGCATGGAATGGGAACATTGCCCTAAACAAAGATGGCCGCCATCAAAGGTTTTTTTAATGACGTCATATTATAGCGCCTAATTTGAAGAGCAGTTGTCTCACGTGTGAGGTCAGAGCAGTCATGTGATTTGTTTAGTCATCATCAGAGGTCGCCGTATCGTAAACCTCACCAACCCTGACCGACTGGGAAACAGAGAGAGAGACACACAGCTAGTGTGTATAATAACAGAGGTACCAACATTGTACACCCCCTGTATATACTGTGTATATAATGTATGGGGGTAAATATACACCCCCCTGTATATACTGTGTATATAATGTATGGGGTAAATATACACCCCCTGTATATAATGTGTATATAATGTATGGGGTAAATATACACCCCCTGTATATACTGTGTATATAATGTATGGGGGTAAATATACACCCTGCATATGCCTCGTGTATATAATGTATGGGGTAAATATACACCCCCTGTATATACTGTGTATATAATGTATGGGGGTAAATATACACCCTCTGTATATACTGTGTATATAATGCATGGGGTAAATATACACCCCCTGTATATACTGTGTATATAATGTATGGGGTAAATATACACCCCCTGTATATACTGTGTATATAATGTATGGGGTAAATATACACCCCCTGTATATACTGTGTATATAATGTATGGGGTAAATATACACTCCCTGTATATACTGTGTATATAATGTATGGGGTAAATATACACCCCCTGTATATACTGTGTATATAATGTATGGGGGTAAATATACACCCCCTGTATATACTGTGTATATAATGTATGGGGGTAAATATACACCCCCTGTACATACTGTGTATATAATGTATGGGGGTAAATATACACCCCCTGTACATACTGTGTATATAATGTATGGGGGTAAATATACACCCCCTGTACATACTGTGTATATAATGTATGGGGGTAAATATACACCCCCTGTATATACTGTGTATATAATGTATGGGGTAAATATACACCCCCTGTATATACTGTGTATATAATGTATGGGGGGTAAATATACACCCCCTGTACATACTGTGTATATAATGTATGGGGTAAATATACACCCCCCTATATATACTGTGTATATAATGTATGGGGTAAATATACACCCCCTGTATATACTGTGTATATAATGTATGGGGTAAATATACACACCCCATATACTGTGTATATAATGTATGGGGGTAAATAGACACCCCTGTATATATACTGTGTATATAATGTATGGGGTAAATAGACACCCTGTATATACTGTGTATATAATGTATGGGTAAATAGACACCCCTGTATATACTGTGTATAATGTATAAAGTAAATAGACACCCCTGTATATACTGTGTATATAATGTATGGGGGTAAATAGACACCCCTTGTATATACTGTGTATATAAATGTATGGGGAGAATAGACACCCCTGTATATACCCGTATATAATGTATGGGGTAATAGACACCCCCCCCTGCATATACTGTGTATATAATGTATGGGGTAAATATACACCCCCTGTATATACTGTGTATATAATGTATGGGGTAAATAGACACCCCCTGTATATACTGTGTATATAATGTATGGGGTAAATAGACACCCCCTGTATATACTGTGTATATAATGTATGGGGTAAATATACACCCCCTGTATATACTGTGTATATAATGTATGGGGGTAAATAGACACCCCCTGTATATACTGTGTATATAATGTATGGGGGTAAATAGACACCCCCTGTATATACTGTGTGTATAATGTATGGGGGTAAATAGACACCCCCTGTATATACTGTGTGTATAATGTATGGGGTAAATATACACCCCCTGTATATACTGTGTATATAATGTATGGGGTAAATATACACCCCCTGTATATACTGTGTGTATAATGTATGGGGATAAATAGACACCCCCTGTATATACTGTGTGTATAATGTATGGGTAAATAGACACCCCCTGTATATACTGTGTGTATAATGTATGGGGTAAATATACACCCCCTGTATATACTGTGTATATAATGTATGGGGTAAATATACACCCCCTGTATATACTGTGTATATAATGTATGGGGTAAATATACACCCCCTGTATATACTGTGTATATATAATGTATGGGGTAAATATACACCCCCTGTATATACTGTGTATATAATGTATGGGGTAAATATACACCCCCTGTATATACTGTGTATATAATGTATGGGGTAAATATACACCCCCTGTATATACTGTGTATATAATGTATGGGGGTAAATATACACCCCCTGTATATACTGTGTATATAATGTATGGGGTAAATAGACACCCCCTGTATATACTGTGTATATAATGTATGGGGGTAAATATACACCCCCTGTATATACTGTGTATAGAATGTATGGGGTAAATATACACCCCCTGTATATACTGTATATAGAATGTATGGGGTAAATATACACCCCCTGTATATACTGTGTATAGAATGTATGGGGGGGTAAATATACACCCCCTGTATATACTGTGTATAGAATGTATGGGGGGGTAAATATACACCCCCTGTATATACTGTGTATAGAATGTATGGGGGGTAAATATACACCCCCTGTATATACTGTGTATAGAATGTATGGGGGGTAAATATACACCCCCTGTATATACTGTGTATGTAATGTGTGGGGTAAATATACACCCCCTGTATATACTGTGTATATAATGTATGGGGTAAATATACACCCCCTGTATATACCGTGTATGTAATGGATGGGGGTAAATATACACCCCCTGTATATACCGTGTATGTAATGGATGGGGGTAAACATACACCCCCTGTATATACCGTGTATGTAATGGATGGGGGTAAATATAGACCCCCCTGTATATACCGTGTATGTAATGGATGGGGGGTAAATATAGACCCCCTGTATATACCGTGTATGTAATGGATGGGGGTAAATATACACCCCCTGTATATATACCGTGTATGTAATGGATGGGGGTAAATATACACCCCGTGTATGTAATGGATGGGGGTAAATATACACCCACTGTATATATACCGTGTATGTAATGGATGGGGGTAAATATACACCCCCTGTATATATACCGTGTATGTAATGGATGGGGGTAAATATACACCCCGTGTATGTAATGGATGGGGGTAAATATACACCCCCTGTATATATACCGTGTATGTAATGTATGGGGTAAATATACAGCCCCCCTGTATATACTGTGTATATAATGTACGGGGGGTAAATATACACTCCCTGTATTATTGGCATTGATATAGAACCAACATATTCCATAGCTCTTTAATATTATATGAGGGGGAGATTAACAATAAATTAGGCAATTCCAAAAATTTACAGGAGCAATAGGTTGAAGAGTTAAAGGACCACTATAGTGCCAGGAAAACATACTCGTTTTCCTGGCACTATAGTGCCCTAAGGGTGCCCCCACCCTCAGGGACCCCCTCCCGCCCGGCTCTGGAAGGGGGAAAGGGGTAAAAACTTACCTTTTTCCAGTGCTGTGCAGGGAGCTCTCCTCCTTCTCTCCTCCTCCTCTTCTCCTCCCCGTCGGCTGAATGCGCACGCGCGGCAAGAGCTGCGCGCGCATTCAGCCAGTCACATAGGAAAGCATTTGTAATGCTTTCCTATGGACGCTGGCGTGCTCTCACTGTGAAAATCACAGTGAGAAGCACGCAAGCGCCTCTAGTGGCGGTCAATGAGACAGCCACTAGAGGAAATAGGGGAAGGCTTAACCCATTCACAAACATAGCAGTTTCTCTGAAACTGCTGTTTATGAAAAAAATGGGTTAACCCTAGAAGGATCTGGCACCCAGACCACTTCATTAAGCTGAAGTGGTCTGGGTGCCTAGAGTGGTCCTTTAACCCCTTAAGGACACATGACATGTGTGACATGTCATAATTCCCTTATATTCCAGAAGTTTGGTCCTTAAGGGGTTAAAATAATAAGAGTACACTGCTCAAATGAGCCTACAGTCTAGAGGAGGTTGGATATAAAATACAGTAGGACAAGAGATGGCAATCAAACAAGGTGGAAGTAAAGCAGAGCTTGAGGAGAGTGTTGGGTGCTGCCCTTTAGGAGAGAGCAAGGGACAGGTGTGTGAGGTAGAGCTTACTCTGAGAGGGCATAAACTTTCCTGAAGAGATGGGTTTTAAGAAACTTCATTCAGGTATTTGTTGAGAATATGCAGGTCCAGAATCGGTCTCTAACCTCCTACAGCTTTTTTTTTTGTGAGTAACAGATAAGAATAGAAACAGTGTGTTCTTTCTTCTTCTGGGACCTTTATAATGACACTCTGAAGAGTTGTTATGAAATTCGAGGACTATTCTTTTTACTATGTCTCTGGGCCACCTTATGACATGAATGCTGCGTCTAGGAGGAGACTTGTCAAATTCCATGAAGTAACCGTTTGCCACAATATTCAGGGATCCATTTGTCTCTTATGGTGTTCTCCCAGGCAGGAAAGAATAAAAGCAGGCGGTCACCTACTCCTTCTACTTGGGAATGTAAGCCATCATAATGTTCTAGAGCTCTTAGATCCAGGGGATCAGCACCATCTATTTCCTCTGGTAGAAGAGCGATCACCTCGCCCAGATTGAGATCTTCCATAATCTTGGCCTGGACGGTAAAATCTGTAGTCTTGAAAGGAAGATCCTTCTGTGAATCTTCTATCTCTGAAACTCTTTCTAGGTCTGCGATCCTGAGGTACTAAAGCCTTCCTACCTTCTGCTGCTCTCTTGATGCAGTCATCCAGTTGTTTCCCAAAAAGCATTTCTCCTTGGAATGGCTGTTTTTTAGACTAAGCATCAGCTGTCCAATTTCTTAACCAGAGATCTCTTCTGGCGGAGACCGAGAGGAACATGTTTCTGGATAGCGCCATAACCATGTCGACTGAGGCTTCTGAATAAAGTCTGATGCTAGTTTAATGTCTTGAAGACTGTTAATGGATGCTCTTTTTCTGCCTTCTCTCAGATCATCCTCTATCTTCTATTCATAATTTTAGAGCCTGAGACAAAGAGGCAGAAGGCAAGTGCCAGCTGCAATATGGGCTTTGGCCAGGTTCAAGTTCATTATGCAATCCATAGGATCCCTTAAGGAGCCCACATTGTCTACCGGCAGTCGTACGCTTGGCCAGTCTGACTTTAGCAGTGTCTACTTTAGGAGAAACCCATGAAGCCACATCTGAGGACTGTAAAGTGTATAGGCAGGAAATCCTGCCATGCGGAGAGCATATTTTCCATTTTAATCCATTCATCTATAGGAAGAGCCTTAATAGTCTCATGGACTGGAAATTTTAGGTATTTCTTTTTTTATTTTTTGAGATCTGAGAAGAATTTAGTAGATGAAGGTTCTTATGTGGTGGGCTCTTTCAGATTCAGTGATCTTCTGACCCTGGAAATCGAGTGATCCACAATAGCTGGATCTAACTTTTGAGGGGGGGTGTTGAAATTGCTCCTCTGAAGAAAAATCCTCATGCCAATATATCGTCTGTATCTGGGCCTTTTGCGTGACTGACTGGCCTCATTAATACCCTGGGAAACCTATTGCTTGATTAAATCCATGATGCAAGAAGGATTGGAAGGGCCTGCTGCACAAAGGTGTTTCTCTTCTATTATTTTGACATTGCACGCCTCACATGCTTCTTGGGAGACTTCCTTCTTGAAGCTCTCGCTTTTCTTCCAGTTGAACTGAAACAAAAGGGAATATTAAGCATTGCTCTGTTTAGTTTATTACCATCCTTTTAAATAGGAAAAGTAGATAAATGGCTTACCTATTACTCTTAGATTGTGACCGTTTATCAGAGGATGATGAATCCAAATCCATAACTGAATCCTGATGTGAAAATTAATATACCATGAAGAAAGGAAAAAACAGATCAGATACTATCCCTTTAATTACTGAGACTTTAAATACTTACAATAATGACGATGCACAAAGGATCAAATTAGGAATTCTTTGCTTAAGTAAAGCTCACGGAAAAAGTGGAGACAAAATTCCAGGATTAAGAGTCTTGGCGCTTTTAATAGGATAGGTGATGTCATAATTGGCCTTTTGCCACTGTGCATGCGCATTCGCGAACATTCGTGCATGCATTGTGTACTCTGTTCGGTTAACACATGCATAGTGGTGTGAGGCGAAAGCCCAAAAATGGTGTGACAGAACGGGGTTCTAGAAGCCCGATCGTCATTTGTTGAACAGAAACATAAGCACAGTGTGATGGTAGTCTCAATCACCAAGAACTTGAGATGGACAATTCAATTGGGTATCTGGATGATTCCTATGTTTAAGTCACCCTGTGTGCACTGTGGGTGCAGAGTGTGTGTAATGTGGTTGTTTGGGGTTAAATGTTAATGTGCTCTCCTGTCTTCCTAATGCTTGCAATCAACTTGATGACTTTGTCTGTGAAGCCTGTACAGTGCAACCTGTTGGTTGCAAGGACCTAGCAACAGCTATATGCACTACCTGAATATCAAGGCTTGCTAATTTGCATATTTGGGTAGTTTGCATATTGCCAATTCTGCAGGCAGGAGAGCTATTTTCTCTTAATTATGGTCTTTACCACTCCTTTATAAATATGTAATTATGTTATTATTAGTTCCTGTATGTTGTCTGTGATTTGACTGTATTTTTGAGTTGTCACAGTAATCTATATGTAATGTACGTATAGGCTAGTCCCAAGAAAACTTGTTTTGTATGTTCGTTCCATTTGGTACTGGGTGTCCTTTGTGCATTTTTATTTTTTTATTTTTTTTGCCGATCCCAGTGAAAGAGTCTTTGGACCGGTTTGCTGGCTGCACAATCCCTCTAGTCCTGGGATAAGTCAAGAGTTAAGCCTGAGAGTCGCAATTGCCTTTGTAAAGGTATCTTTAATTGGTGTAAGCAGAGCTGCAGCAGAAGAGGCAAAGGGGATGATACGTGCCTCGAAGGAAAGCTGCAGCCTGGTAGGGTAGAAGACCCCGGTCAAGCTTCGGCGACTGGGATGCAAGCGTTTTTAGGATCCTAGGATGCGGATTGGGCGGAGGTACTCGGTCGGAGTTTAGGAACTCCATCACAAACAGATTTAGTTTGTACCAAAATGCATGAACGCTAAAACTGGCGTGAATGGTCGAGGATTATAAAAACCCCAAACATCATACTTGCATTATCAAAGCCATTCGGTTTGTTCCCAGAAATGAGGACTACAAGCAAACTACAGCAAAGCAAGTTAATTTTCTTATGCCCGAATCCAAAATGTTTGGTAGGAAGAGGGTAAGGTGTCCCAGGGATTTTGCCAAAGCTTTCTTGCTACCCCCAGGGTCACTAAAGGGGTATCCTCAGGGTTTCACCTTTGCACAGGGCTGTACCCTGAAGGCTTCCTGAGGAAGAGAGCCTAAACTCTCTTGGGACAGGGGGTAACAACCACCAGGTTAGCTAAAAAGAAAAAAAACAAAATGTTCACAATAAAATATATACGTCCTATAGGGAATAGGACGGGAATAAAAGACTGCGTGTTGGAGGGGGTACTTATACCTTTTGTTTTTATTGGTTCTCGTCTATCAGGGGAGGAGCTAACCATTGTTTTGCTGCCATGGATATAACAAGGAAATACGGTTTATCCTGGGAAGTAACAGCTTCTCTGTAATTGTATTTTTCTATTACTTTCAGGTTTAAAGTATAAATTGAAATGGAATATTATGTTACTCTGTAATAACAGATCTAGTTTAACTTCTGTCCACAACTGTTCTCAGGCTGCATGATTGGCTGAATGATGACAAACACAAACCGGAATCAGATGACCGAGAGGATCCTGGATCTGACCCTGGAGGTCAACTACCTGCTGACTGGAGAGGTGAGGGATTCTGGGAATGTCAGTGACTCCTTTCTTCTCATTAAGTTAACTTTAATCATTTTTATTCATAATTTAATGTCCCTACTAATATATACTCTTTGAATTTCTTAAGAGTGGAGATTTCGGGACGTTTCATGGTGGGGGAGAATAAATATTGCAAAATCTTATAGTATGATCCCCGTGTCCTGCGCAGATAGTTGGGTGAATTTACCGTATAATTGTGTAAATTGGTTAATCTCCTCTGGACATACACCACCAATGTGGTGCTCCAGCGGTGAAAGACCAACGCTAGTATCGAGGAGAGACTCCAGGGGCATAACCCCAAAATGCTAGTCACAATGCCAAAAGACAAGCAGCCTAATAAAAATATACTATATACATTGAATTCAAGGATTGAGATGTCCCAATAAAGAGTGAGTTTAAAAAGTCAAGTAGATACAAAAATGTTCCATGATCCCTGAGTGGTATAAAGGTATCAGCAGATCTCCCCTCTGAGCTTTATTCAGGCTGGCTCTATGGGCTTCTGCAGTGCTATCCTAGTAAGTCTGGTATCCCAACCAAAATAAGGGACAGCAAGAAATAAATAGGGCTACCACTTTAAAATATAAGTGCTTTTGCACTACTAGAAGTAATATTTAAGTTAATCCAAACTATACAAAATGGTCAAATGCTATTTTCGAGGTAGCATCGGCAAACAATTGTAATGTTTAAACAGAGTACCCCCTCAAAAAAATATATATGTTAATAAGTGGTGTATACACAGAACAATTGTCTCCAAAAAAATATAAGGTGTGTGTGTGTGTGTGTGTGTGTGTGTATATACACAAACTAAGCGAGACCATATAGTTGGAGAACAATTAGGAAGTATGGAGCATAGATATCATGATGCTTAGAGTGCTCAATGACATATCTATGAATAGATTATTAGATATAGAGCAGTCGGAGAGAGGAAGGTAGAGGGGACAGATAGTAGCATATACTGCATATAAATCTAGCAGTTTAATGGGTAGTCCCTCCCTTCTTAAAAATAGCCCTTAGATCGCTAGAGGGGTAGCACAATGGAACATAATGTCTACTCAAAGAAAAAAACGGTGAAACAAGCTAAGTGCCATATCGTGTTAAAACCCCTTCAGAAGTTTACCTTAATCCAGCGCTGGGCTCCCTCTACGCTGGTGAGCTCTCCTCCCCCGCCGACGTCAGCGAAGCAGATTGTGCATGCGCGGCAAGTGCCGCATGCGCATTCAAAGTGTCCAAAGGAAAGCATTTTTCAATGCTTTCCTAAGGACGCTCTGCGTAATGGAGGCAAAATGTGCCTCCAGCGTCGCAGATGCGCCTCTAGCGGCTGTCCGGAAGACAGCCTCTAGAGGCTGGATTAACCCCAAATGTAAACATAGCAATTTCTCTGAAACTGCTATGTTTACATCTGAAGGGTTAAAAACTGAGGGACCTGGCACCCAGACGACTTCATTGAGCTGAATCACTATAGTGTCAGGGGGGGGGAAAAGCGGTTTTCCTGACACTATATAATCCTTGGTGGACCATCACCCTCAAGGTCCCCCTCCCATGGCGCTGAAGGGCTTAAAACACCTTCAGCAGCTTACCTTTATCCAGCACTCCTTCAGCGCTGGTGACCTCCCCTGCCGATGTCCGCTCCCGGGTGGAGTGGCATGCGCGGAAAATGCCGCGTGTGCATTCAAACAGTCCATAGGAAACCATTTCTCAGTGCTTTCCTATGGACACTGCGCGATGGATGTGAAATTTGCATCCAGCGTTGCAGATGTGCCTCTAGTGGCTGTCAGGAACACAGCCACTAGAGGTTGGATTAACCCCTAATGTACACATGTAAAATGTTTCTCTGAAACTGCTATATTTACATCTAAAGGGTTAAAACCTGAGGGACCTGGCACTCAGACCACTTCATTGAGCTGAAGTGGTCTGGGTGACTGTAGTGTCCCTTTAAATCTGTCAGAGATGCATTATAAACTTTTAAATAAATGGTAACTGGTCCCAAGTAGTCTACTAGGATTTACCCCAACGCCTCAGATAGATGTTGGAGATGCTTAGTTCCGAAGAGTTTTTCTGCATGTATGGCGGGAATGTCAACCTATCCAACTTATTTTGGAAAATGATACACTTAAAAATCCAAACTTTACTTTCAAAAACTATTTATTTCAACCTGAGTCTTCTATTACAATTAAATATTTATTTAAAACATTTTTGGTACAGCCTCCACTAGTGTGATACACATCTTGGTAGCTGCCAAGATGTTGATTGCCAGAAGCTGGAAGATGGTCAAAATTCTAATTATTTACCAAATTAAAATGGAGATGGGCATTTGTAGAACATCATATGATGTGGTTGGAATAGGTTGAGAAAACCCTTCTATGACGTTGAGTGGTAAATGTTTTAATCTTTGAACATGACTGGGCCAACCCTCCTCCCCGCAGGGAACTTAGATTAAGGCCCATTTCCCATACCATCTCTACTGCAAGCCTCTACAATTGAATGCTACATCTTTAAGGTACAAATTTGGAATTCAGAAGATACTCCACCAGATTTCTTTCACCTTTGCCACTCGATTACTTTATATATAATGTTTTCATTGTTATCTATAGTGTACTACTGTAGTATCTTGTACTTGCAGCTACATGCATTCATTAATAATCTGGCTGTTAGGATTTGATTGGCAAAATTGTAATTCACCACTGTTTCTTTTCCCCTCCCACTCTGTAAATACCTTGATATAACTGTGTATCTCTACTCCCTCCCTGGGCCCATTTCCCCTAACATCTCTACTGCAAGCCTCTGCAATTCTACTCGGCTCAACCCGCCCACCCAGGCTCCCCCTAAATTTATAGCATGCTCCACCAGCTGTTTAAAATACTCACTCCCTTACTGCTTCATTCCCTCTATAGTCTACCAATAGCTGCAACTCTGTTTACTAAGCCATCACTTCCAAAGTTCCCCTACCACCTCTTATCTCAAACCTCCACAGTATCCTTTAGATTGTAAGCTCACGGGCTATCAACATATGCACTTTGTATAAAAGAGCTTAAATGGCAAGATTTCAGCTTTCAGGCAGGGCCCTCTCTACCTTTTATATTTGCCTGTGTGTATTGTATGTTCTCTACTAATTGCACAGCGTTGCAGAATCTGTTTGCGCTTTATAAATATCAGTAATAATAATGATTTGTGGGGTCGTTTTTTTTGTGTTCGTTTTGTTTGGTGATGTCTTATTTGTTTTAATATTAATCAAAATTATGTCAATGGAAACATTGGCTTAAAGGTTTGTGCATGTCATTAAATGTTTGTATAATTGAAAATGAATAAAAATTGTGTGTGTGTGTGTGTGTGTGTGTATATAATATAATATATATATATATAAAAGTTAAATTCTGAGTCTGCTAAGAGTAGTAATAAAGATGCTAGGTGCCAATATCAAAATGAAATCCGTTAAGCAGATGGAGCTGGCTACTTCCAATGGATGCTGTGACGAAGCTCCTATGCTCAGGCCGAGTATCTCTGCCAAGTATCGTGGGACAGAGTAGCCAAAGTGATTATACTCCCTTTCCCCTAGGATAGAGCTTCTTGAGTGTTTATAGCTCTTCCCAAAATCAGCGGAGGCTTGATGAAGGGTAGAATAGGTCTGTGTTTATTAGTGTGTGTGTGTGTGTGTATATGTATATATACACACACACACACACACACATAAACACAGACCTGTTCTACCCTTCATCAAGCCTCTGCTGATTTTGTGTGTGTGTGTGTGTGTGTGTGTGTGTGTGTGTGTGTGTATGTATGTATGTGTATACATATATACACATTCCCAATAGGGGTTTTTGTGAAAAACATAGCTGATTTGGCACAAAATAATTGAATTACCTAGTGGACACCAGGGCGCCTAACAATAATAACCCTAGACATACATGTCCCCCTATAGTTACATCCAGGTTTCTTACATCCCACATAGCTCTGTTTTGGTAAAGTGACTAGATTCCAGCGCAGTTAAGTGGCCAGTTAATCCATCACAGATGGCATGACATTTCTTGCATGGTGCCATTAAAGGGACACTATAGTCACTAAAACAACTTTAGCTTGAAAGTTAATTCACTTTTGTTTCTTTATGCAACCATAGCCACACCTCCCCTGGCTATGACTTACGCAGTCTGCTTAAAAACAAAATGGTTCCATTTCAAAACAGATGTAACTTGCGCTTCGAGTTTTTATCTCCTGCTCTGTAAATTGAACTTTAGTCGCACACAGGATGCTCCTGCATGGTCTAGTAAGGTAACTGCAGGAGATAAGACATTTTTAATTAGACAGCACTTGCAATAAAGATAGTGTAAACATTAAATACCGCTTTACAGGAAATGTTAAGGAAGTCCGTTTAAGTGCAGGGAGGTGTGGCTAGGTCTGCATAAACAAAGTGATTTAACTCCTAAATGGCAGGGAATTGAGCAGTGAGACTGCAGGAGCATGAGTTAAACACCAAAACTGTTTCATTAAGCTAAAATTGTTTTGGTGACTATAGTGTCCTTTTAACTGTTGGTCTTTATTTACTTTTTCTATGAACAGTAAATTCTGACTGCCTTTAGTTAAATTCTCATTTTACATGTGGCTCTGTGTCATGGCAGGTGTGAGATACAAACCTATGCCACTATGACTAGATGTCTTGCTTACAAACACAGATTAGAGGGATTGTAAAGCTAATAGGGGTAATGTGCTACATAATTCTGGGACTTGTCGTGCAATGATTCAACTGTTTTATGTAGGATCCTTGGTAAAACTACATAAACTCGCAAATCAAAGGGGAGGGAGGTCAAATGATTTTAGATGTATTGCAGTGTGTTTGGGATTGTGCTGTGGGTACTGTTTTAGCTTATTTTGATCTTGGGCATTTCTCTTGTTACGCAGAGATTTATTCAAATTGCTCTATTTATATAGAATTACATTGTTGTGAAGAGTCCTGGAGAGACCGCTGTGCAGAACCATGGTTTCAGTGTGTCAGACAGACCCAGCAACTCCCAGAGCCCCAGCATGGTGCCGTCACCTCATTCTCTGATACATGAGAAAAACAATGACCTGAAGATCCTAGAACTGGCCAATAAGATCATCCACCTGCTGACTGGAAAGGTGAGGATGCTGGGTGATGGTTACTGTATTATTGTGTTTCCTCCATTTATAATGTGTAGTCAGGATGGCCATCATTTACTCTTTTACAAACCAGGAAGCTGACCAGCAGTGTTTCAGCATTGTTGGTCTTTCATCAGACTATAGAAGAGATGCAAGTAGGATCCCACCTCTTAATTATGGAAAATTGAATCTTAATGGAACACTATAGTGTAGGAATGCAGACGTGCCCTAACTAGTTGGGCTCCTGCGTCTCCCTCTGTGAAGAATAAAGGTGCTTTTACTTGCCTTTCCTCCTTTTCAGTGTTGGTCTCCAGTCTTCCATCCCTCCTCCTTGACAGAGATCAAAAAGCATTGGAAGGCTAGTGCACATTAGCAGCAAAACACAGAGCTGCGCAAATCAGGTAGTCTCCTGTCCGTATGATGGCCATTAGAAGCAAATTAACCATGCAGTCCAAACATTTCCATTTTGCATAGTGGCAATGTTTCATAGCTGCAGAGTTAAGGGGGGGGGCGGGGGTGAGACTTGTCGTTGAGATGAAGTTGTGTGGTTACCTATTGAATCACTTTAAATAGGTTTCTGTTATAGACCAGAGCTTCCTGGAGGCACCCTATGCCAGATAAAACGCCATTTTATCTGTAATCCACTTGTGAGGTTCAGACTTTCATGAGTATTTTATCGTTCCCTTCTAGTCCCGTTTCTCTGGGCCTATATGACTGGCTCATTCCATTATCCATGACATTTATCCTCGATTTCCACATATCATTTGCCAATCTCACTCTACCCCCAATGTCACTTGTTCCTTTCATACCCAATTTTCTTACTCTTTCCATAACCCAGTTTATCTGCTTTTCTTGTCCAACGTCACTCCTGACCGTCGTTATTGTGCATAGCTTTTTTAATCCCCATTCTAGATCCTGCTTCTCTCTTTAATTCACATGTAACTAACATGTTGAACATTCTAATACTATTTAACTACATGTGAATGCATGCACACAATACCTAGGAGCTGTGTAGTTCTGCTTATTTAGTAGTGTGCTAAGGTTTGAGGATGTAAATCTCTATTTTTCCGTGTAGGTGTGGGAGTATTTAGAAGGACACAAGGAAACCTATAATGATGCACTGCTGGAGACTCACCAGACTCTCAGCTCATTGGGTAAGGGATGGTTTAGCCACCATTGTTTTGATTATGTTTCTGAATAGAGCCGGTCTTGAGTCCACATTTTTGCTCTGAAAAATAATAGTTGCAAATTTTAGGATAGCATTCACTTTTGAAAGGGAAATCTACGGTTGACACATTTGTTCTCATAAACCACTGAACCAGTGATCAATATGACTAATTCTCCCGTCACAGGTCCGCTATCACCGAAAAGGTAAAAAAAAAGAGAAACCTTCTCCAGATCCATCCCCTCCTCACATTATAAACGATAACACGCTCCGATTGTTCAGTGAGTGATACACCTACGCGTGTGTTGTAGAAATGAAATTTGTTTTGGGGGGTGGGGGGGTTTCTCCATGCATCCCAAGCAAGTGATCAGATGGGATATAGCAATTTAAAACTGATTAACAGTTCTTAACCCAGTGAACACACAATAATTAAATAAGTGTCATCATCCCATGTCCTCAAATACTACTTTTCAACTGTCTGTTTGACATTTTATGGAAGATATTAGTCCAGGCATAGGCAACCTTTGGAACTTCAGATATTTTGGACTACACCTCCCATGATGCTTTGCCAGCATTATGGGTGTAAGAGCATTATGGGGCATGTAGTCCACAACGTTTGGAGTGCTGAAGGTTGCCTATCCCTGCCTTCGTCTATGCTGTGAGATGGAGAAAAAAGACACGATCAAACTTTAGTCATGAGGGATCTTGATTCAAACTCCATGAATGTAATAATCACATACACCACAATTTGTGTGTTACACTGGCAGTATCGGCTGATAGACAGAGTACTAACAAGAAAGCAAACCTAGGTCAAGGGGTAATAGTCAGACGTGAAGTTGAACTGGACAGCAAACAAACCTGGACATGGGGATTCCTCGATCCCCACAAAAACTAAAAAAAGGTAGTTTTGCCCCCCAAAAAACTAGACCACTGTAAATAAACAATATACACGATGATAACATCTGTAAATAAAGGTGTGCAGGTGTGTGTGTACTATATTGAATGAATAAATGGAGCCGCTCTCATTGGTGAAGAACTTGGAATGCAGTCTCTGTTTACTTTCAATATGTCTTTTAGCAGACAGTGATCCTCAACATAACATGAAACCACCTAAGAGAGACTTAGTACGCCTGATTCATGTTAAATCCAAAAAATAGATTACAAGGCAGAAATAAAAACATTGAACTTGGTTAAAAAGATTCCAACTCCTATATGATCATTATTACATATGGAAAAAATAGAAGGTAAAGAAGCAAGTGACGCGTCCCCCACCTTTTGTACAAGTGGTAGGGAAGATGTTAAAAATTTATAGATGACTAAGGCCTTTAACGGACCATTAAATAAAACACAATCACTGCAAGACTCCAGACTGTTGGAGACTAAGTTGGCAATCGAGTCTGTGCCAAGACTTTTCTACAAAATTAAGACAAAGTAATAAGATAAAATATATATATTTTGTTTTTAAATTTTTTTTTTTTTTCCCCCTATTAGCTGATTCCATGAACACACCTGAAGCTGAAGGGTTTAACATCCTGACTATCAAAGAAGATGAACAAACAATTAAACAAGAAATAAAATGCATTACAATAAATAAAAGGGGACGAAAGAGGAAACCTTTGAGATATGAGAGAACGTTATGTGAAGAAATAGACCTAACAGATGCTGGCGTTGATAAAAACTTTCTACAAACTGAGTATACCTCTAATCCTATTCAGAAGGAATCCATCTCCTCTATACAAGAAAACCATATAGGCATTTATTTACCCACAGAAAATACACAGACAGAATGTCCGTCTACTCATATTGCCGCGTGTGAAGAAAGTACTGAGCTTGGTTTTCCCACAGAATACATGTCTGTTCATATTAAAGAGGAATCACCCTCGTATGAAGAAGACCTTTTCACAGGTAGTGACACTCCTACACCAATACTACCTACACAGTTAGAATATACACCTACTCATATCAAGGATGAACCAATTTTTTGTAACCCTGAAAATCTGTTCGAGACTGACATTTATACACCTCCAGAATATGCCTCTACGTTTAAGGAGAAATCAACCACGAATGAGGAAAGAAATGTCTCCGACCCACCCGTTTCAACCCCCACCTGTAAATTTGAGAGCCAACAGAAATGGAATAGTAACACACAGCTGGGAGAAAGCATAGAAATATTAAATCAACGAAAACACACAGTAGACCAGCTGTATAACAGTTTTGAGATAAATAAGGCTTCTGATACCTATTCTGATTTTGATAAAGATCAGAAAGCCCATGATGGAAAGAAAGTGACCTGTTCTGAATGTGGGAAAATTTTTGCCAGTAAGGTACATTTCTTTGGCCATCAATGTTTATATCTGAAATCACGGTTTACCAGAAGGAACAGGATTTGCCAAGGAGAGAATTCGCTTTCGTGCTCATGTGGGAAATGTTTAAAGACAAAATATTTTTTTAGACATCAGAATGTGCATGCTGGTGAAAAGCCATTTTCTTGTTCCCACTGTGGGAAATGTTTTAAACTGAAGGCAACTCTTAAATCTCACGAGAGAATTCACACTGGAGAAAAACCATTTCCTTGTGCAGAGTGTGGGAAATGTTTCAGCCAGAGATCTGGTCGTAATACACATCAGAAGATTCATACAGGAGAGAAACCCTTCTCCTGCTCTGTATGTGGGAAATCGTTTAGGCACAAGGCCTATCTTATCACACATGAGAGGATTCATACAGGAGAGAAACCATTTTCTTGTTTTGAATGTGGGAAATGTTTTATAGAAAAACCAAGACTTCTTGCACACCAAAGGATTCACACAGGAGAGAAACCATTTGTTTGTTCTGAATGTGGGAGATCTTTTACAAATTATTCAAATCTCCTCGCACATAAAAAGATTCACAAAGGGGAAAAACCATATTCTTGTTCTGAATGTGGAAAATGTTTTAGTAAGAGGGTATACCTTACCTCTCACCAAATACAAGGCTGTTCAAGTACATCTGATATACATTTCTAAAGCCCAAGGAAAGGGGCATGCAGAATGTCCTGGGAAGACACCACAAAGGGATGTATGTTTGCAATACCACCAATGCTTTCAGCAACACAGTAAACTCTTTAGTAAGAGTTTAGTGTTTTTTTTGGAAATGTCATTAACCGAAAGATAACAGTTCCTATTTTAGGAACATATAACCCACTTTTGTGCAAGTACCAATCACTTGAGCAGGTATTCTTACCCATGCAGAAGGGAATATTAGCAGCTACACTAAATTCCTGCACACAAACATCCCAAAATAATCACTAAAAGTATTCTAACATACTGACTAAACTTGTTCTCGAAATGCCTAGACCACAAATGATTATTGATGCAGTCGCTCTAGTTTAGTGAACTACCAGTATTCTATACACAAATTTGTAAGATGTTCCCACCATAGCAGATGAATACAACTCGATATAATCACCTCGAGGTTTCATTGCCCAAAGCAGAATTGTACCATAGTATATTTTTCTTTGGGGCAACACTGTCACCAGTTGGGGACTTTGCCAAATTTGGCAAAGTCCCCTGATGGTGACATCACCGTTGTGGGTCTAGTGTCTGAACGGGCACTTATCTTGATACGGGGGTCCTCTTTGGAGCTGGTCACTGCTGTACTCTTCCACATACATGAGAGTACAGCATTTAAGCCCAATGGCGGATCGTACGAGATAGCGGGATCTTCCATAGACCGTCAATTCCCTGTAAATCCATAGCATTTTCTTTTTTTGCGATTTCTTCTATTTCCCCTTAATTCTATGGAACGTTTAAAAGAAAAACAGGATTTTGTTAAAATAACAAGAACAAAATAGAAATATTAAATACTATTACAGATTTGTTGTTGTAATAAACATTAGTTGAGAATTCTTTGTGTCCAGATTCCTTATTTTGTACGCATAGTGTGTATATCTCTATCATACGGATTTATTAAGATGCTGAAGCTGTATATTCATCCATCAGATGCCTAAATTAATTCCCTCTTTATCTAGTTGGATTACACATCTGTTTCATGAGGTTAGGATGGAGGTGGCTAAAAAAGTGGAGCTAATCTGATCATAAATAAGAGGTAGAGAAGCTGTAGGATGGGAGGTAACCAAGGAGAGGAGGCTAGCAATTCCATACAAAAGTTTACTTTCAATTTAATTAAAATTAACCCTACTCCAAGAGTGTGCGCGACGTCGTTGTGGTGGTGAAAGGGTTAAAGTTCACTGTCTGATCTAGAATGGAAATAATGACAAAAGTCCCCCTACCACCCACACTTAAACATAATATAACTATTACTATTTTAACGCTGCCACCACCAAGACAATACATAAATGGGGTGCCTTGGTCCCCAGGTAAACTTAATAATAAAAATACAACTTAGCACAATATTTAAGGAATTGCAAAAATACTAATTAGTCTCTTCAGGTAACGTGATTCTTAACCAGACAAAGGCAGAACTTAATAAATGTTTATTATAAGCAAAAAATAGTCACAGTGCATACACAAATATGATAAATTATTTACACCAACAACTGATAAAAACAAAAAGGATAAAATAACTGAAAATCTAAGTGAGTAATTAGTACTTTTAAGTAAAACTTCTGCCATGGGGATCTCTGGTAAGGAAGGATGATGGTGACTCACTCAAAATTAGATCTTGGCCCCCAAGCAAGTACACCCACACCCTTCCAAATCATTGGATATATATACCCCGTGGAGTTAAGGCATACCTATAGAAATAATAAGTGACCACCTCCTTTGTTCCAGACTAATGTCAATCCAAATGGAAACATTTGGCTCAATCTTTTCTTAAATACCTGCCACAGAAATAATAATTGCATCTATGAATTTATTATTTTTCCATCCCATAGACACGTTGCAGGCCCCACCCACGATCCAAGATGATGGACATCACAATTCCTGCCACACTGTTCAAAGGACTAGTATAGTCACCCAGACCACTTCAGCTCAATGAAGTGGTCTGGGTGCCAGGTCCCCCAGGTTTTAACTGGTATGTTTACATTGCAGGGTTAATCCAGCCTCTAGTGGCTGTCTTCCTGACGACCGCTAGAGGCGCTTCTGCGACACTTAATGCGAAAATCGCATCCAGCGTGCAGAATGTCCGTAGGAAAGCATTGAGTAATGCACGGGTGGCTCTGGCCGCGCATGCACATTCGGCTCCACTCGGGAGCTGACGTCGGAGGGGGAGGAGAGGTCACCAGCGCAGAGGGAGCCCGGTGCTGGATAAAAGTAAGTGGCTGATGCACCCTTGCCGTGACACATACTACCCATCATACAACAACTGGTGTGAAGGTGTCAGAGACAATAATCAAATATATCAGTCTTGTGCAGCTATATAATGTAACTCTCTTTATATACATTGTATCACCACTATATCCAGTTATAAGCAATAGAGACTTAGTAGTGCTTGTGAAAATTGTCAGGAATGTTGATAAGAAGATAACAGAGAGAAATTCCTTCCCAAGAAAAATTCACGAGTCTCTCGCTCAACATGCCTTAGATGGCACCTCAACTAAACTGCATTATTCAGCAACATTACTAATCATCATCAAATCATAATGCAAAAAGTATAGTACAAAGATACGCGGCAGATTAGAGTAAAGTAAAAAAAAAAAAGTAAAACCGTTAAGCTCATGTATACCAATACTGCCAATTGCCAGGTCACCAGTAAGTGTGGAGTAACTGAGCCAGTTCAGAAGTTATACTTGTTGGAGACCTGATATTAGCAGTACTGTTATACATGAGCTGAACCCCTTAAAAAAACAAAACAAAAAAAAAACAAGAAAGGACCGTACGTCATCTGGGTTCTGTGCGAGTACAACCAAGGAGACCAAAGAGATTAAAACTTTAGATAGTTGTCTATATATATACATATTTGTGCTCGGAATTTATCTAATATGTAGAAGGAGAAGCAAAGTTGGTTAAGGTGTGCCGAAACCAACGTACGAGTAGGCCTGTAAAAGAGGATTCAAAGAAAACACACTTTATAGATATAGTGGGCTCCTCCGTTTCCAACATCCAGCAATTCTCATGCAAATGTTTTGTAAACGGTTTGAGAATAACAAACTGTGAGGGAATTTATGGGGTTATAAATATTTGATAAAAATTATCAAAACGATTTAACTTTTATTAGTATCAAAAATCAATATCTTGCCACTGTTTACCTGTTGATTAATTTAAAGCGAAGAGTTACCCACTATCTTACCTCTCATAGACCCTGGAGTACATTTATTAGAGGAATTGTATTTCACACATTAATCATGACCGATTCTAAAAATACTATTTATTGTGATAAGTAATATGTAACATGCATGACAATTATTGAATACTTAGTATAACAATAGGTATAAAATATGACAAATTATGGCAACAATAACCACAATGAAGATCATTTCTAAATCACTTGTCTTAAGGTGATGAGAGTGTTGGTCCACATAGAAATTATCCACCAGTAGGGTCAGGATACTTAACAAGTATTAGTACAGATTTTCAATACACCTAGATAATCAATAGGCTATTGGCAATAGTATCCAGCTACATAACGTTAAAATAATGGAGTTACATGTATAAACTACAGATAATTCCTCTAGAATTTCATTAACGATTATTTTAACTTCAACTACAGTAATGCCATAGGAATCTTTTAGAGTTTGGCATTAGACGTCCATCACACACAGAAAGTACAGAGCGCAGCTCAGGGTCGTAAAAATGTATGCTGACAGCAGGATCTGAATTTCTAAGCTGTGCCTTTGAGAGCACCTACTCAGTTAGCACTGATTACCAACCTCCAACTGATTTTTTTTTCCCTATTTTTTTCTAAGTTTAGCTATATATATATATAAATATTTGGGGGGGGGGGTTGTGCATCCACTGGCGGTCAGATTTTACTGTTTAGTTAAGATTACCCCCTTTTTTGGATGAGTAGCAATAATATTGTTTCTCTCAGGGAAATATTGCTGTGTGTGCATCTACAAACCTATACTGATAGAATCTTTCTGAGGTATTTTGTTACCACTTTTTATCTAGCCAGTTGATACATAAAACTATAAGCTTTAATTGGCTTTGGACAGCACACCACGTATTAGCTTGTAGTATACAGCCGTGGATCGTTCCTAGCCTAGAGATAATGAGATTGTTTGTTTGTTTGTTTTGATTGTTTGTGTATATACTTCATTTGATTATTCATATATTCACACTTCAGTTTTTTCACAAAGCTACGATTGTCGTACAGTTTATATATATGTTTTTTCGTGTGTTGTATATACTTTATTTTTTATTAGTCATTTTTATTTTTCATTTATTCTTTGTTAGCATTTAATAGATCATTAACATCTAAAGTTAAGTTTTATTTTAATCAATCATCACCCGGTCTAGACACCACATTCTCCATCATTATATATATATATATCTATCAGGCATAGGCAACCTTCGGCACTCCGTATGTTTTGGACTACACCTTCCATGATGCTTTGCCAGCATTATGGGGATGTAGTCCACAACAACTGGAGTGCCGAAGGTTACCGACCCCTGATATATATTACATGCGTGTGTATGTATGTATGTATGTACAAACCCCTTCCAGTGGATAGTTAATATAGTGCTAAAAAGACTTGCTTTTCCCACAGAAATCTCACTTTAAAGGAAACTCCAGGCACCCAGACCACTTCTGCCCATACGAGTGGTCTGGGTGCCAACTTACACTACCCTTAACCCTGCAACTGTAAAAATTGCAGTTTTCATAAACTGCAATATTTACATTGCAGGGTTAACTCCACCTCTACTAGACAGCCACTAGAGGGCACTTCCTGGTTTATAGCACGATTTGTTTTCCTGGCACTGGAGTGTCCCTTTACCAGTGCTCTTACTACAGAAAGGGATTCTGGGTAGTCGTATGCAAATGAGCTCAACAAAGAACCACATTCATCCACACTTTTTTCCCCCACCACAACTATCTCTGATCAGTGTGTTTACATTAGCCCGATCAGTTTGGTCAGGCAACGAACAGAGTAAGAAAAAATAATGTGTCTGTTTCTTTTACATTCTGCTACAAAATGGAGTCACATCTACTAAGTAGTGACTTTCCAGTATTATTTAATTTCAATCTTATCACAATATGTCTGAAAAAGGTGTATGTTAGACATGTGCGATTCGTTTCATTCCAAATGTATATTCTTACGAATTTCATGCCATTCGGATGCTTACGAATGTCCAAAGCGATGACGTTCGGAAGTGTCAAAACAAGAGAGGAGGAGGGAAAATTACGTGAATGATGACAGGAATCTTGAACAATAAGCAAATTCCTTTTGTGCAATGACGTCATATCCTGTACGCGTCACTTCGCTGACGCTGAAGTACTTTGCTTCCTCGCCACCTGGCCAGGACTGCCATCACAACCACTTACACAGCTATAGCTCTCCCAGTGCCCGGACTGCTACTGTGATGGAACACTGGCACTCCGACCGAGTACCTCCGCCAATCGATGTTCCTAGCACTTGCCAAGGACTCCAAGCACTCCAACGGACACCATCAGCACTGCAGACCGTGAGAAGTGGTTCCAGCATTGCAGCTGCACTGGGGTCTCGCCATCTTTCACCCACACTGGACCCAAGGCCAGGCCTCTCTTCTTCCAGAGAGCGTAGCAGGAACAAGAACAGCTTTTATAAGAGCTTACCCTAAGGAGTATAGTGTGAATATAGCAATCCCCAAGAGTGTAGTTATCCCATTCCCCAAACATGAGCCAAGGCTTCAAGAAAGGATCAAGCAGATCGGTTTAATGAGCACCAAAAGACTTTCTTTTATACAAGATTTTCCACAAGGTTACCACCCACGTGGCCTTGTGGAACAGCCAATCAACAATGTACAATACAGTCAAACACTCCCAGCCAAGGCACACAAACCCTCCGCTCTGCCTGTGATATAATTATTAAACACAATGGGCTAACGTAATTATCACAGGCAGGAAAATGTATACTTTTAAAGTTATGAATATTGTGTAAAACTGTATATCACATTTACATAAACTTACATTTTCAGAATCAGCATACATAGGGAACAAACATATCCAAATATCATTTGAATCTGTTTAGCCGTTCAGGAGTTAGCTGGAAGTCATATTTTGACCGACCGACCACACGCACATTTTCCTGGCCAAAACAGTTCCAGAGAATAAGGCTGTACGGCCAGTCTATTTCCCATATTAAATATAGTTCAAATAGGCGAACGGCAACTGTTCGAATTGTCGAACGGCATTTTAATTGTCAAACGAGTGGAAGTCTGGAGAAGGTAAAACTTCGGCTGAATTAAAATGGCCGCCGCCACGTGTTTGTGTGTCGATTGGTGGCCACTTTGACTACTATGGCACTTCGGATTCAGCCAAAGTAAAGGTGCAGAATTGTGCCAGTTCCATTGAAAGGGCCAGAACAGTCTTTTAAACACCAATAAGTCCAAATAGTGTTAATAACTGGTAAAGTCTCCCAGGGACCATAGTCACATTATTATTATTATGATATTTATAGAGCGCCGTCAAATTCCGCAGCGCTTTACAATGGGTGGACGAACAGACATGTAGTTGTAACCAGACAAGTTGGACACACAGGAACAGAGGGGTTGAGGGTCCTGCTCAATGAGCTTACATGCTAGAGGGAGTGGGGTAAAATGACACAAAAAGGTAAGGATAGTATTAGACTAGTGACAGTTGCAGAAGAGGAATCAGTCAGGAGCTATTAACAGTTTAATCGATACGCTTTTATGAAGAAGTGGGTTTTTAAAGATTTTTTGAAGGAGTGGAGACTGGGTGAGCATCTAACGGAGGAGGGAAGCAAGTTCCACAGGAACGGTGCAGCCCTCGAGAAATCTTGAAGGCGAGCATCAGAGGTGGGAGTACGGACAGATGATAGACGTAAGTCTTCAGCAGATCGTAAGGGCCTAGACGGGACATACCTGTGTATAAGGGAGGATAGATAGGTGGGAGCAGCATTATGTAGAGATTTGAAAGCAAGAACCAGAATTTAAAATTGAGCTCTATATTTTATAGGAAGCCAGTGTAGGGATTGACAGAAGGGTGAGGCATGGGAGGTGCGGGCGGACAGGAAGATGAGCCTTGCCGCCGCATTCATTAGGGACTGTAACGGCGCTAGTTGGGAGCACGTAAAACCACTGAGAAGCGGATTACAGTAGTCAAGGCGAGAAACGACAGTGGAATGGACCAACACCTTAGTCGCATCTGGTGTTAAGTAGGGGAGGATGCACGCAATGTTTTTTAGATGGAAATGACAGGATTTGCCGATAGATTGAATATGAGGCTTGAAGGAGAGGTCGGAGTCAAAGAGAACACCTAGGCAGCGAGCCTGCGTGGTGGAGCTGATGGTAGCACCGTTGACTTGGAGGGAGACAGAC